GCCCAGTGCACACATTCCTGGGACCAAACGGACCTTTCGCCAGCGTCGGCGGTCGCACAACTGTGCGTTTTGACCGCCAAACACCGTCTAATCTGGCCTAATGTGACGGTGCCGAGCCGCCTGGCGGGCGGCAGTGGGGGCGTAACATGCGAACCGGGCCCACTCACGGCACAGACGGCTGACTGTGGCCGGCAGTGAGCGTGCGAACCGAACCCGTGGGAGGCGAGCCTGTGCTTCGCAGAAACGGAACAGTGCATGTTTGTTGTGGGAGGCGGTGTTGAAGCTAGTTCGTGTGCGTTGGAGACTTCGTGGGGCAATATCAACGCCCATACGAGACACACAAGGATATAGTATTTATGAAAGGATTATCAACCGCAATGGCCAATAAAGTCATATATAGGGATACCACCAAGGCCAGAACAGGCCTCCATGTGGATACCGATTGTTCGGTGGTTCTATCTAATGCACATGAACAACCAGCTCGGAGTAGCAGCACATAGCATATGCATTGGATCAGATGAATGACGGCTCCTTATGATACCGGCATTGCTCCATTCCAGGCTGCCGAAGGCTGTTCTGTGGTGATTCACTGCCCAGTGGCGCACGATAAATTAGTGGTGTTGATGATATCGAGAAGTTTGTGTCGAGAATCGCAGCAATACGGGTATTATATGGCAAGCGGTTCCGAAGCTATCATGTCGAAAGTTCCGTATATTTCTGTGCTGATGGGTATGGGAATGATATCGAGTCACTGATGACATCGAGATTTATATGACTGGCAACGCCCGTCGTCCAACACAATGTGTTTCATTGCATTATATGACCAAAAATTAGATGAAAAATTGTTTCTATAAGCCGAGGGTGTTTTTAGAAGCATGCATCCATGCAACGTAGAAAGCGCGTTTCGTATTTTAGGCCGAGTGCCACGTCTGTGTTTTGGTCGTCTGGAATGTGTGACCGTTTTCGAAATGAACGATCCGTTTTGTCACCCCACGACATCCCCCTGCCCTTTCCGATCCTGCATGCCATTTCTGAGCCCGTACATATTTGTCCCATGGAAGTTGGGTCATTACATTTCTTCGGACTGGAAGTATTGCTGCTTCTATCCTGGGGACGACAGCCTCCGAAATGGTTTAGGCGATCGCCAACTTTGTCGATCAGGCAAAGTTTGCCGCGGATGTACGGATTTAGGGCCGGTAGGTGGGCTGCCGATCCAATTCTGCCGGTCATCAGACGCTGAGCCATGCATGTTTAATGGTCGGCGACACTGCCCAGAATCGGCAGACCGGCTGCAACAGCGACTCATGTTGTTGGAAGGAGAAGCAGAACTTCAGTGCATGTCATGCCGGGAGACCGCGCTCTATTTTAAAGGTTGTTAAACAAGTGCATTGAACGTTCCTTTGGGGGGAATTAAAATTCCACTACCTCGGCCTCCGCGGCGGAGGCCATGTTGTCACTGAGTTGTAGCTCGATGGTGCTAGTTTTGTCCCTTCATTTGTATGTAGCCTGCATGTTATCTGACGTCTCGCCGAGGCCACCGTGCAGCCAAATACCCTTCATTTTCCGCAAATATATACGTAGATGAGGGAGCGTGCTTTTGTGATGGTTAATGGCCTGTCCTCCCTCGACCTAATGGCCGTGTTCATAAACACCGTCATTACCTCTGTTTTGTATGCATACCCGGACTGGTGTTTTAGCTCGTTCCAGCCTGTACTCAGTGGCAGCTCACTGAAAGCCCGGGCCGATCCTTAACCGCAACAGCCGTGCCATCGTGGGACGGAACGAGGTGCCAAGCTGTTCGTTTGCATTGATGCTCTGCATTTCTGGATTCCAATGCGACTACCTGAACACACTACTAGGTTTTAATCCCGATCTCACATTTGAGCACGGCTGTGATTCAGATACCGAAATTAATGGAGGTTACAGCTCAAGCCTCCGTTCTGTGTGTAGGTACTGTAGGTATCCGATTCCGACCCACACCGGCGCCTACTAATAGCTCACTTCCCTCTCACTCTTCCCTCCTCCCCCACTCTCCCCACTCTGACTAACACCCCACTCTCCACCGCAGGGCTCCAACGACAAGCTGGCCACCATGCCTCCCGTGGACTCCTACGGCTGGGGTGACCCCATCTACGGCGACATGGGCAGCGGCTACGGCTCTGGAGACGGCATCTACGGCTTCACGGACGACGAGGACGGCTACCACCACAGCTACTACGACTATGACGACCTGGGCAGCGGCAGCGGCGACTACGACGACTGGTACGACTACGGCGATTGGACAGACTACGACCACGGAGTCACCAGTGAGTATGAACGACGGTCGAGGGATTGGCGGCGTAACTTCAGGCGGTTGGACCGCCAGTTAATACGTATCGGCACTGGCATGTTATCCCGTGTAAATTCAATGCCCATTAATTGCTCTCGTTTTGTCATGTCACTTCTATTGGTTCAAAGATATTCAACCATGTGCGTAATTGATCGTTGTGGTGTTCAGTTTCAACTTTTCGATCGCTGCTCTTTTATTCGTGTGCTCGCTGGCCGCATCAGTGCCAACCTCAGGCTGACCTCCTCCTCTCGCCCGTCCCCCAGTTCCCACCACCGTCTACCCCGAGGAAGATGGAGCCGACATCGACATCCCCAGCGAGACCGACGTCGTCGAGCCAGAGGTCAAGGCCGAGCCCCCGCCGGCCACCACCAAGCCGACCACCAAGGCGGCTCCGGCGCCCACCACGGCGCGGCCTGCGGGCGGCAGCGCGGCAGCTGTCACCGCCGGCTGGTCGCTGCTGGTCGCTGCCCTGCTGGCCACGCGACTATAGGGCGTGGAGCGCCGAGCCGGCTGAGAGAGAGAGCTTTCTTGCGGGTGACGGCGGTCGCAGCGCCGCCCCGCACGCCCGCCTGTGATACCGTGTCTGTGGAAAGAGCGAGAGAGCGTGTGCACACGCCGGTACGGCCGGCGTCAGAGTGCCAAACGGGCCGGGCGCGGCGCGAGCTACCGGTCGGTCAGTGCTGGACCGCGCCGCCCTCCACACAGGGCAGAGGGAGGGAGGGGAGCAGAGAGAGGGCCAGACGGACGGGAGCGGACCGGCCGGACGGCCGCCGGCGTCCGGCACATTCAGGAGCGGCGCTGTGCAGTGGGAGGAGCGGCCGCCGCCGCGACAGGACGGCAGGGCTGGACACGTGGACTGGAGGCGGGCCGAGAGCCCATCTGCGTCTTCCCGAGCGAGTGAGAGCGGAGGTGGCGCCACTGCGGCGCCCGCCAGCGGTCCTCATCTTCATAACCCGCGTGGCTGTTGACCGCCCCGATGGTGCTTTCAGGGAGTTAGACTTCTAGCTTAGTGGGGTATCATACTTTCAAGCAATAAAGTCTCGTACGACTAACCCGACGGCGCGCCCTGTCGAGGGGCGCCGCCGCCTGTGGCGCCCTCTCGCGGGGGCGCCGCTTTCAGTAGCTCCCCTCGTGGGGGCACCGCTGCCAGCAGACAGTGTTGACTCCGCTGGTACGCTTTCGGAACGACGCTGAAGTGTATCTTTCGTTTACTAGCTTGACAAGTCGATGTTATGTTAGGTGCGCTATGTTACTGCTTCTCCAGAAATTCGAGTTTGACCGGGAGTTTGTGAGCGGCCTGCCGACGGCCGTCGCGATTATGTTCGTACTTGTTGACCGTTTTAGATGTGCATTCTCACTCATTGTATAACGTTTGTCGAAATGTCCGTGCTGCGTTCACTTGACCGGCGGCCGACCGCCGCGCGCGCGCGACCGTTTTAGATACAATCATGACGCGTGTGTTAGTGAGCCAAATATCATAATTGGACGTATCGGCGCGCCAAATGACGCGTGGTCGTGCCTAGTGACGACATTGTTGAGCTGGTGACGTATGCTGCTCGCCGCGATTGCCTTAGCTGCTTGTGTACGTCGGCCCCCGTGCACTGGGGGTACTCTGCAACAGCCACGCCCCTGCGAACCCTCCACGGCACACAGGCGGGCCTCCAGGGTGGATGGTGCTACTGGACGGCCCAGCACCCTTCCAATGGAGATGTCCTGACCGTCACCGCTCCCCGGGAGCTTCACAGGGTCCTGGGAGGGATATCCGCACCACTCCAACCCACGCCATCACACACAGGCTCCCGACACCATATCTACTTCGCTGGGATGATTTCTACGCCGCCGCCGTCCTATTCCACTAACCCGAACCTTTCCTGCTCCGCCCCGCCGCGCCAGACGCCGACACCCGTGTCCCTGACCAGTCATATCGCCGCGCCGGCCTCACGTGACGTCACCGGGCTGTGACGTCATCTGTGCGCCGTTCGGTCACATATCCGTCTGTGCCGCTGGTTCTAGCCGCCCCGTGTGAGTGATGGACTATCTATCGCCGGGCATGTGCTGTTTATATCGTCTGACCGCGTGAGTGAGAGAGAGTCTGTGGCTATTTAACTCCCTGTCCTCCGGCCCGTGTCCCGGAGGATCCAGGATCCGGGGATCCGGAGCGGGATGGGACCTCGAGGATCCAGTATCCAGGCTGTTACAGCAGGTGGGGATTCGAAGGCTGATTAGAATACAGTATCCAACACGGAGTGGAGGACCCGGATCCGGTGCGGTTTAGGGATCCAGTATCCAGCGAGGATCCAGGGCGGATGGGTTCAGAAACGCGCAGTGTTGATCGGTGTATGGAAAGAATGTGATAAATACATTGTTACTTCCGCCTCTCAATGGTTGTGGTGGCAAATGGAACTGGAGACTGGCCGAGAACTCCAGAGCGCACTAGGAGCTCAACTTCGGCGAGAGGAGCGCCGAAGTTGAGTTCACCCTGCTGCCCCTCTGACAAAGCCGTAACTCGCGCTACGCAGAACTTGCTGCCTTCCCAGAGTTCAAACGCTCTACCAACTGAGCTCTGAGCTACGGGACGGGCTTTAATCAAATTCAAATCTTCATTCAGTTCTCCACTTTTCCCTCCACACATCGCATTCCGTCGGTTTAGGAAGAAACACTCCGTGGCACACACTATTGGTAATACTTCTATTTACACACGACCTCTATATAGGTACAATATAATTTGACACATGGTCAATGTCTCACAAACTTCGCTCGTGCGCTCGCGGCGCTGCTCTCTCCTCCCTCTTCCTCTCACTCTCTCTTCCTCTCACTCACTCATACATTCACTCACTCTCTCACCAACTTACTCACCCACTCTCTCCTACACGCTTACTCTTTCTCGCGCGTGCGCGGCGCACAATACTCGTTCTACCCGGACACACTGGCCAACCGGCCATATCTAACCGGGACGACGCCAACATCGATGAACGCTCGACCGTCTGGGAATATAAATTACTAAAATGAATGAGAAGCTACCAGCACTATGACGAGCACGACACGCGAGTCGGTCGGCCGACCGCACGCCGGCGCGGCGACAACACAGGGGGCACAGCGAGTTAAACACTAAAATCGGGGAAATGAGAATTATCACATCTTCTCTCGCGCGGCCCGGCAGGCGGGCGCCGGGCTCGACCGGTCGGCCGGGGCGCCGCGGGCCGGTGACTGACCCGCTGTCTGACGGGGCGGGTCCGTCGGCTGGTAACCCGCTGTCTGACGGGGCGCCGGTACAGGGACGAGGAAGAGGTCACGCTGGCTCACTACAGCGGCCGAGGTCGCCGGCGGAGCGTCCTACTGGGCCGCGGCGCGCCGAGCGGGACCGCCAGAGAGCTGAGGTGCTCCGCCGCGCGTCCCACCGAACGGCGCAGCAACAATCAACAACGGGTGGCGGCGGGCGGCGAGCAGAGCGCCGCCAGCGCCACCTAGGAGCCGACCAGCCCGCCGCCAGCGCCACCTACAGACGTGGCGCGCAGACCGGCTGAGATTCGGCGGCGGCCGGTCGGTAAAGCTCTGAGCACGGCGATCTGTCTAGTTGTCTGGAGCGCCGCCGTGGCGCGCTCACAGCTTCTCTTTGGAGGGTATCCAGATGCGGTTGGTGCCCTGCTCGCGGATCGTGTCCTTGATCTTCTCGTAAATATCCTCCGGCGTGTCGCCGCTGATGATACCTGCCGAAGGCGAGTGAATTCCGTGAGTAACATCGCCTTCCGCATGGGCACTGATGTTGCACGAATGAGATACATATTTGCGACAGAACCACGCCAGTGGACGAGGTGCCACCTGAATATATAAACCCAGCCATCCCGTTGGTCACGTCACAAACAAAAATACCGGTACGTGTTTGAGTGCTATTGAAGTGAAGTTAAGTTGTTGATCATACCCAACAACAGATGGGAGCTGCAGACTTTACGACAATAACTGCTTGTCAGTTAAAAAAGAAGAGTATAGAGGTTTATAAATCACAGGCCCCAGGCAGCTATCAAGCGCAAGACCCGGCGACTCACTGGTAAAGTACTCGCTGAACTCGGCCTCCAGCTTTTGGCATTTGTCGTACATCTTCTTGGCCTGCTCCTCGGTCAGACGCTTGTTCCATTCCCTGCCGAAGTCACAGTCACAGTCACAGTCAGTCACAGCGGGTGCGACAGCCACAGTCACCACCAGTCACAGCTGTACTGAACGTTACACCGCTCTATCAGCACCTCCTCCGCTAACACAATCGCCCAGTCCACACTGGGCTTTACCTCTTCTTCCATCAAAGCTATTTTAAACATTCTCATCCACCCACACTGTGACAAATTCATCATCTGTTTCCTACCATTCCGCTCACCCCTGGCATCTAAAGTGGGACTTTAAGGATAGTACACTAACTCACAGGAAATAATACACACAACAATGCATGATAGAACGTTTAAAACTCACAGAACAAAAGTCCACGCAAAACTCACAGGATGGAGTCGACGGAGCGCGGTCGGATGAAGATGGCGATCGGGTACAGCTGCGCCACGTGTAGCCGTTTGATGGCGTTACCGCTCACGTCCAGAATGCAGTGCTTCTTTTGCTGCGAACAGACCGGGACCGGAGGTCAGCGGGGGGTACTGGGGTGTCGGTATGGAGACCTAAGGTCTAGGATCTAAGGTCTAGTCTGTCAAGAGGGCGCAGAAGGAAGCTGGCTAGTTGGAGATGCTTTGCCACAAGGCTATGATTTAGCCAGAAACCCCGAGAGGAAAATTACTTGAGAGCAAGTTACAAGCAGAATTCTTGTCAGGCTTCCACCCATATTTTTCCCTTGGCTGAGTTTGACCACAACTATTCGTTGTGAAGCAACAACATGGAGTCATGGACCTAAATAGCTTGGCCAAGCAGTAACGCGTGTCACGAGGCAGGCACTGTGTAACGCAACGTGAGCACAAACAACTTTGTGCTGTTTTATGTACAGTTGCCATGGCACATAACAGTGTTATCCAAACACTAACCCTGGAGTGTTGCATCTCACTGGAAGTACCCAGCTGCCACACAACTCCTCTGCCAAACTATTTGCATCCTGGCAGACTTTCTCCTCATAAAGCGAAAGCAGACTAATTTCGGACTCCCATCTCACATCCTTCCCGCCTACCGCATACTGTCTGCTCCTTCTCCCTGAACCACGGGTGACTCTCGTGTCTGTCTTCCTCAGGCTAACCTCACAGTCTTCTCGGGCGTGATGGGCTCCTCGGTTTCCCCTCTCTTCCGCATCCATCCCCTCCTTCATACTTTCCTCTCCGCTCTCACTCTTCCCTCTCCCTCTCCCTATCTCTATCTCTATCTCTATCTCTATCTCTATCTCTATCTCTATCTCTATCTCTATCTCTATCTCTATCTCTATCTCTATCTCTATCTCTATCTCTATCTCTATCTCTATCTCTATCTCTATCTCTATCTCTATCTCTATCTCTATCTCTATCTCTATCTCTATCTCTATCTCTATCTCTATCTCTATCTCTATCTCTATCTCTATCTCTATCTCTATCTCTATCTCTATCTCTATCTCTATCTCTATCTCTATCTCTATCTCTATCTCTATCTCTATCTCTATCTCTATCTCTATCTCTATCTCTATCTCTATCTCTATCTCTATCTCTATCTCTATCTCTATCTCTATCTCTATCTCTATCTCTATCTCTATCTCTATCTCTATCTCTATCTCTATCTCTATCTCTATCTCTATCTCTATCTCTCTCTCTCTCTCTCTCTCTCTCTCTCTCTCTCTCTCTCTCTCTCTCTCTCTCTCTCTCTCTCTCTCTCTCTCTCTCTCTCTCTCTCTCTCTCTCTCTCTCTCTCTCTCTCCCTCTCTCTCTCTCTCTCTCTCTCTCTCTCTCTCTCTCTCTCTCTCTCTCTCTCTCTCTCTCTCTCTCTCTCTCTCTCTCCCTGTCCTCACCTCCTCTGCCACCTCCCGCACGCTGGCCACGCTCGTTCCGTACAGGTTGTCGTTGTACTGTCCGGCCTCGATGAACAGGTGGTTCTGAATATCGCGCTCCATCTGCTCCCGAGACGCCACAAAGTGGTAGTCGCGACTGTCCACCTCGTCCTCTCGGCACGGCCGGGTGGTGTCTGAAAAACAGCCAGGTACCGACCGTTAGTGCCAGCCGACAGGAGAATATAGTCTTTTTCGTAGTAAAGTGGCTATCACATATGATCGTTGTTCAACATAGAAAATTATAATTTAATGCGGGAAATGCCGGTCAAGCGACAACAAATAACCGAGGTAGGATCGACGCTACAATCATGACAGCCCGACCCATGCAATTGCACAAGCACAGCTGAGAACGACACCTCATCAAACACATATCAGCAGCTGCAGCACTGGCACATCTGAGGGACTACAGCCCCAGCCCCTTACAACATCCCCACTCCCCGCACCGCCCGTCCTTGCAGAGATCCTCACAGACACCATCCCATCCCTCTGACGTCATCCCAACCCCCACTCACGCGGCACGCAGCTGCCAAAGTCGTCCGGGTACTGCGAGATGAGGTCGTCGTTGATGCGGTCCTTGAGCGGCCCCAGGATGATGACCGGCCGGCAGTAGCTGACCTCGACGTGCTGTACGGGCTCGTAGGAGAGCACCGGCTCCTCAGGCAGACTGCGGTCGTCGCCCTCGGACGTGTTGGTCACGGAGTCTGATGGAGAAGGGGAGGCGGGCGTTGTGACAGCGGCCCATGACACGGCCCTGTAGAGGCTGACAGCTGGAACTCGGGGCAGAGCGAGCTCTGACGGCAGACTGACAGACGGCGGGTCGGGACAGGGACTTGACATTGCAGGAGTTGTAATTTGACAGTCCTACAGAGCTTGATATTATTGCGAGATAAGAAATAATTGAGCCTGACTGAGAAATGCGGCCTGTAGCAGTGTTTAGTGCAATTTTAGCGGACGGCAATATAAGTCCACCTTAGGCCTAAACAGTAAACAAGCCAGCCCCTAGGGCCCCACCAAACACCTCCCGTTAGCGTGTCCCACTCAGAACCCCGTCTGCCCAACAGACACCCTGTGCGCCCCTACACGAGGAGGCGCTATCTGCTATCGACCCAGAGAGGAGCCTGCTCGAAATAGCGGCCGGCGGCGGCTATTTGAGGACACGGCACTAGAAAGCGGCGGCAGTCGGCGTGACAGCAGCATATTCGATGGCCGGGTATTGAGCTGCGGCGGCCGCGCCGGCCGGACGGCTTATAAACGGAACGGTACCATCGCACCACTCAGCGGGAAACAGTGGGCGGTTACATAACAAAACCCTCGCCAGGGCGCTATTTCTATACATGGAATCGATGAGTGCAGACATGTGTCAGCGCGTTTTGCCCTGATCCAGGGAAAGATATACAATATACATTCCAATCAGACCACTTTTTACACAGAAACTGAATCAGATAGGCTCTAAATAGGAATAAACAAGACCTCTTATGCATCAGAATAATTTCATCTGATTATTTATCTGAAAATAGATCTGTTTCCATAACATCAGTAATATTACATAACATAGCAGCAGGCAATCCGTTTGCTGACCCACCGATCCATAAAACACAATCACGGCATGGATTGGAGAGTGCTTCTACCAGTCTGACGCCAACAAAAGAGCACGGCCGGCTGAGGTCCGCGCTTATCGCCCGTTTTACAGCACGAGTTTTCGATAAATCAATGCCTTGGTTGCGGCGCGATTCAAGGTAAAGGTCACAAGAACACTGGCCGAGCTGGCTAATGTTGGTAGCAACGTACGGTAGTGCACCATCCAAATCAAGGCCTTTGGTAAGCACGGAATGTTGAACGGTGTAAGAAACAGAGGCCCTTACCGGTTCAGGATTTTGGAGAGTGCTGCCGCGCTCTTAGGCGCCAAGAGCTGCAGGCCGGTTCCTTAGATCGGAAGGAGGATCAGGACAGGCGCAAAGCACAGGCTGGACAGCTGCAGGCAGGTCAGGTCGGCGCAGGACAGAAAGGTCAACACAACAGCAGTGACGAGCGATGCCAGACCAAAGGTCAGAGGAGCAATCAAATCACAACTCGTTTGAGGACGGGCGAATTAAATCGATACCCAATCGCTTCCTCCATAGTTAAATATTTTCACAGCCCCGTAATTAATGCATTTCTGCTATAAACCTTGAACAATCTGCCAAGAAGCGCAATAATAATTTAGGACCGGTATAACGCGCAATTACTATCCGCCACAGCGAAAAGCTTCTCTGTAATAACCTAGCCCAGCGTTCAGCCCTATAGCATGAACACAAACACATCACGTTGCCAAGCACTCAAGCACTCCATCGCCTCTGTCTGAAAATAAACGGGAAAAGTCGCCTAAAGTGAGCTCCTAACCAACAAATCTTATGGTCGTTCGTGAATCTCCCGGCCTCGCTATCCACTCACGTATCTCCCTTTCTTGCTTCCCAAACTCACGGATTTCGCGGTCGTTTTCCTCCGAGCCATCGTCCGACTTGACGTCCTCCTTCGACTTCATGAACGGGAACTTTCTGGAGAAGGAGAAGTTCTTCTTTTTCCGGTCCAGAGTCGACTGCGGACAGAAAATGTTCGTGTGTTAGTACTGTTCGTTCACTTCTATCTAAAAGCCACCTGAGTTACGCCCTCCCCTCCTCCAATTAAAGTAAAAAAAGCCAGTAGTGTCACAATATGCAGGCTTCATCGTCACGAAGAAAGCATTGTTAGCTGTATGATGAAATAATAGCATCTCATGTGCTTAAGTGGTTGCCCTCCCATTCACCAAAGTATTGCAATTAAAGCGCAGTAGAAGCCCCAGTATATTCTGGTAGGCATCACAAAGATCTGTCGACTCCCAGCTCACCTAAAGCAACTTTTTACTAGGTTCGCCAAGCCTCGTCAACCAGCGGTTAAAAGTAAATCCCCTCTCCTCCCTTCTTCCCATCCCAGACAGCACAAGGACAGCACCACGCGAGTCCATGGACTTCCCTAGCCAAGACCCAAGCAGCACCCAACAAGCGAGGAAGCGAATAACTATTCTCAAGCCTTGGCCTGAGTGAATGGCAACTCAAGATACGTCTCACTGTTTGACACTTCACAGAAGGGGTCAATCTCATCCGAACCGGTTAGCAAATCGAAATCATTTCGCATCTCATCCTTACAGCCGTCAGAGTCGCCAGGGGAAGTTTGGTGTCCCCAGTCCCTGCCCATTTAATACTATCTAATCAGCGTCTGCCATGGCTGCACCCACGGCAGGTCGTATCACGCCCGGTGGGAGGCGGGGGCCGCTCACTACCTATCTTATCGCGCGTCTGACTGCCAGGGGCTGGGGCAGACAGAGTGGCCACCAGCCGACACCCAGACATACCGAGCTGCACACTGCCTCAGGCTGCCATGAATTACGCCACTACCTTTCAATTTCTCAGATCTCCTGCGTCATAAAATAAATAGCAGTGTCGCAGAATGAGACTAAATTCTTTCCTAGACTCAAACGGCCGTGCTTTGAAGCCGGGGGTATAACAGTCAGAAAGGTTGACGAAACCCTAGGGTGACGACTCAAGTCAGGTGGGTCCAACGTGGGCCCATAATAGAATTAACTGGCCAATTTTCTATGGATAGCGACCTGCACTATGTAGAGACAAGGCCTACAAGCAAGTAATCTGGCAGCCTTATGATCGGGCTATGGGGTCCTCAATATCCTGCCAACAGCCGGCAGACGCCACAGAGCTTAGGACAGTCTCAGACTCTCGCACCAAGGCGGTGCCGCGGGGCGGGGCGGGGGGGGGGCATAATGAAGTGCCTGACCTAGTATGAGACAGGCCCGCCCCGCGGATTCTCCGGCCATCCAATTAGATGCACTGCCAAGTGCCGGGTATGTCGGGTATTTAGTGCACCGCGCACGGCGCAGAAAGCCACACCCACCACAGCCCCACGAGCTAAACTGGTGGGTCATTTCTGACAGCAGAGCGACTGGCAGTTTGACAAAAATAAACAATGGCCTTAGAGTCGTTGACCTGTAAAATTGTGCAGAGGCCTGGCTAGAGGGATGCGGTAAGAAAAGACTAATTTGACTTCAAGTACAACAAATCGCATTGCTACAAAGCAAACAAAACAAACAAATACATACGATAGCAAAACGACATATGAACGACAATAACAAACAAAAAGTGAAGCCATTCACTACACAAAAACTTCCCAACGTAAGCAGCAGGGACCGCAAGCAAAACGGTACCATGGACAGAACAAAACTTACATGTTCCGGGATAAACTCACGCATTAGGGCAAGAGTTAAGCGACGCCACAGGCCAACTAAGCGAAAAAGCGAGACGAGATCACTGATCCAGAGGAGACAAGACAAGAAAAGGCAGACAAGACGAGAGCTTGGAATGCAGCCGACAGGGGGGACAGATACAACTAAACAGCCTGAGCGAAAGAGCGGAATGCAGGCAGGCAGCTATCTGCAGTAAGAGCCAGCCGGGGAGAAAGAGTGAGAGAGACAGACAGAGCAGAGAGAGTCACCTCCTCGTCATCGGTGCCCTGGAGCAGAAGAGAGAGCGGGTGCACCGAGTGCCGTGTGAGGGAGGGCCGACGGGCAGGGACAGAGGTGTAAACACTGCATACAGTCGGTCATAAAGAGCACCGACAGCTCAGAGCAATGATATGACTGAGCAGCATGAAGAATATATCTATAGTCTACTTGAGATGTGCTTGTGTAGGCCAGGCAACGATTTGTATTGTCCAACTACATCAATTACCAGAACATTTTCAGACAAAATAAGGACTTAATCGTCTGAGTTATACAATGGTGTGTCAAAATGCCCGTGTTTTCACCTCCATCTAAGTGTCACATACAGCCAATGTGAGCATAATAATAAATAACAGCATGTATCAACAGTGCAGACAGGTAGAAAGGGGAGAATCATACAATGGCTAAGGTGAAGCAAGATCAGCCTGGCGGAGTGAAAGACATACATCTAAGGGTACGTACACTGCCAGACAATAAGAGGCAGAAGTGAGGTAATATAACAAATAGATAGATGATGACAGGTACAAGAATCGTACTGACATGCTGGGGACCGCGTTAATTATATGTCTGTGTTAATAAATTTTGAGACAACATCGGGGAATTCTCCACAGTGATGTGATCAACCCCGCATCATCAAACATTATGAATTACGCATTAGCTACACTACAAACTGGTAGGAAACCCCACAGCTGGGAAACCCCATCACCACCAGAGCCACATTGTACGCAATACTACACAAGGATACCAGACAGTGGGGCTGTCTCGAAAGTGGAAAACACCACTCGATATTCAGAGCGTCGAATATACTCCTGTAACGCTCTTCCTCCAGAGGTGTTAAGGTACAACTCAACGCCCCTAGGTCTCAACTGACGATGGTAAACTCACCATATCGGAGGAGGTCTTTCCGTGGAAGACGACTGTCTTTCCGCGCGCCCTCATCTTCTTCTCCCAGCGGTGACGGGAGGGGATGATGCCCATGGCCAGCTCCTGACCCTGCGGGGTCAGCCGCTTCGCCTGCCACCACTGGTCGTCGCTAGCGTTCGTCACGTGCAGGATATCGCCGAAGGAGAACGGCAGACCGCGCGACGGCAGGCCGTCGTCCATGCGCGGGTCGTAGTCGAATAGAGCCCTGGGCGGGGGAGGGAGCAGTCAGGTCACGTGGAAGCTACAGCAACCCGGGCTGGGAGCAGCCAGAGATCACATGACAGAAGCGGCGGTTCGGGGCAGCCGTCAGTTGTCATTTTAGCGGAGTTATTATGTCCAAAAACACACGTATACCCTGCTTACATAAGAGAGCGACCACTGAAATGCTATACATAATCAGCCTGTTGCACTGATGCGGCTTCAGAGCTACAGGCTAGCCCGGGTTCTCCGATGTTGTAATGATATCTTTATACACAGCACGTCAGGTCAACTAGCATCCCCACCGCGTTTCCCCCTTCCCCGTTCCAAAGTGGGTGTTTCCCCGGCCAATCTAGCCCAGACCGGCGGCGCCAAAGGTCAACACCAATCCATTACCGTCCCACCTACACGACTCCGACCTTCAGCGGTAACCCACTGAACCTGGTCGCCCACTGAACCATCAGGGCCACGGACCACCCCTGGTCTCGTACCGTACCGACTGTGTTCGTTAGCACAGACACAGCCAGGCCGCCCACAGTTACATAATGAGAAACACCGCAAGGTAGCCCGTCAAACGCAGCTAGCCAGCGGGGGTGGTGCTAAGGACGCATCACGTTACATAGGTGACACCACAGCCCTAACCACATGTGACGTAACGGTCCTAACCACACATGCCTTTCCTAGCCACAGACGCAATAGGTCATAACCGAAGAATGGCGGGGCAATATCGCGTTCCGAATTCCGATCCAGAACATTAACGGCGATGGGACAGGCAACGACAAAACGAACACATCGGTCAGTACCAGCACCTGAAATGGCTGACGAAGTATGTTTGTTGACCGTTGTAACGTAGCCTCATCGACACTTAACTAAATACAGGAGCCCAGAGTGTTCTGAGAGTGCCGCCGCACTCGGCACTCACCTGACGTAGAGTGACCGTTTCTGCGTGGTACGCAGAGTGCCGGGCATCATCTGCTGTCTCAGCTCGTGGATCTTGGCCTCGAACCTGTTGTACTCCTCTGGCCTGTACTGAACCACCATAGAGACGGTCTGGCCGGCACCCTGAGGGACGGGAGGGGAGCGTCAGTAACATTGTCGTTAGACACAGTCTGCCAGACTCTTGGGTAACGAAATGGGAGCGTCAGTAACAACATAGGTATACACAGACTGGCTGGCTTTCTGTGCAACAGGGATGGAGGCATTAATTCGTCGTCATTAGTGGAAGGACTCTGAGAAGCGCACCATGAAACATTTAGAACCAGAAAGTCGTCAGGGAAGAGAGCTCCAATATAACGATTAGATTGGGAGCTACAAAGTTAGGTGCTTAACTTTACCTAAGTTGAACCCTAAATGCAAACAACGAGTCAAAAGTCAAGAAAAAATGAAAGAAGGTAATATTTAAGTTTCTGAAACATGAAAAAACATGATACAAGTTACGGCTCACCGTTTCAACCAAATTACGGTGAATTCGCACGCCCAAACATTGTACACAGTTGTCAAAATTGCGTACCTAACTTCCCGGACCAACCCAACTCGAGGCAAGGCACAGTAAAACTTCCACCCTCACAACGCATTGCAATCACAACTCCCATCAATATCATCCTTGCCACACCGGCCTCACGTTCATTGCTATCTGAAACTGTTGAAGCGCCATTCCACCCCCGAGACACATTTCCGGCCAGATCCGGTCCGACACATCGCAGTTTCACACCTCGCTGCTACAAAAGTTACCGATGAAGCCGAGCTCTGCGCAGCTAGAGGCTATAATAACACCACACTGATGGCCGTCGAGGTCCTAGACTCGGGTGGGTGGGTGAATAGGTCTCGTGCGTATCGAAACATCCTCGCTCGCCCACGTTTCCGAGTCAGACGAGCTCAGGAATGTTCATTTCGATGTGTCGAGAACGTGGCTGGGGCGGTGTGAGTCACGGGACCGTTTTAGCTAGACAGTTAGAGGCGCACGTTTCGACAGAAGAGTCGGTGCGCAGAAGTGGATATTTGCAGTCAATGAATGACATTTTATGAATGCAATGGCCATCAGTCTTCGCAGAACTCAGACAGCGAAACTATTAATAACGTTTGTGAAATCTATCACAAACAACCCACAATCTATTTCGTTGAAATTCCAATGGATGTGCTGTTCAAATCATCCAATTTATCTAGAACCACACTTTATCCAGCCGAAACACCCGAAAAGAAGCATACATCAATGTCTGCAACAAATCAGAATTGAAATTGCTAAATCGCCACATAAATGACTCATGTCAGTTTTTCAGCTGGAAAATTTAACCCTTTCTCTCCATCCCTCTCCTTGAGTCTCCTGATCTCCCACATTTAATGGCGGGCTTCCGTCCCTTTTCACCGCTTTCAGTGGCACCCGTACATAAATGTTCACCCCTTTTCGATCTTCCAGCAATATCAACACTCAACAGTCATTTCCTTACTTCTGCGACCTATTCTAAGGACTGTCCAGTGTCCATGCTCCCTATATCCACTCTGTTCCCTACCTTGAGGGCGGCGGCGGCCTGCTCGTGCGTGGCCTTGCTGAGGTCGGTGCCATTCACCGACAGTATCTGGTCGCCGCGGTGCAGCTCCCCACTGCGGTCCGCCTGTCCTCCGGCCAGGATAAACGACACGAAGATGCCCTCGGACTCCTCTCCTCCGACGATGTTGAAGCCCAGGCCCTGGCCGGAGGCTTTGCTGAGCACCACCTGACGTGGCTCCCTGAGAACGGAGAGACAGAGCGGAGTCAGATCAAGGCAAGGAGGGGTTCAGGGAACTGGTGTGGTGGGAAGAGGTCACAGAACATGGCGGGGATGGGGAACACAGTAAGACCGGTGTGGTGATAGACGGTAGACGCGTAAGGTAGGAGCACAGAGCACGGCACGGCGAGAGGGGAGAGGGCTCAGAGAGATACGGGCGAGGTGGGAAATGGGCCACATGACGCGGCAAGACGGTCACTAGGGGACACACAAAGGAGTGGCGTGGTGGGGAAGGGGTTAATTGGTACGTGGCGAAGCTAGGGAGTTGCACATATCAGTAGGTCTCAGAAAGATGTCACATAGTCCAGGAAAAAGGAAAAACGGTTCGCTATGCCTATTAGGTGAAGAAATACGTTCATTGCCCGTCGTAAATAACATCGATCTTGCTGACATATCTTATAATTCTTATGATGAAAAAATATCAACACAGACCAGTCGCAATCACTTGCTATTCTGATTAACTATTCTTAGACGCCAATGCGCTGTAGCCGCGCCTAGGGATCCGACAAAGGCTCTTGATAGGACCAATAATAGAAGCAATACGCAGAAAACCTGGATATAATACAGCCCACGAGAACACTTTGCTGTCTGCGGCGCAATATCGGAGACCAGGCTTCTCTCCTGCAATGTGCGACATCCTTTTGAGAGGACTGGGAAACACAGTCTGTGGGACGCTAGGACCCACTCTCCCCGCCGCGCCGGGTCGATCTTTGGTCACGGACGTGGTGCACAATGCAGTAATGCACACTTGCACCGTGGACCGTGCAAGGAGCCGGTGCACCGCACAGTGCACATGCCAGCCGGAACGGAGCTGGGCAGTCACACCACTTCCCGTCCTGCGCAACCATACGCCCCCCCCCCCCCCCCCATAACCCCACGTCATCCAATGGTAAGAGTCCCGACTGTTCAGCATATATTACAACGTCCACATTCTCTCACTATATCCAACCATTACCACGCAACGATGAGGTAATGGTGGTTACCCTCCTAATAATGGTTAGGCAATGGCTGGATCGATGAGTCGCCATGCTCACCACACTACACGCATCTCACCAGCCCAGACACCGACACCAATTTCCAATATTCCGGTCAGATTCTGCGCTCCCAGGTCCCGTTCAGACACCTAACCGTAGCAGGCAGGCCGCCGAGCGGTGTGCCCATATGCGGCGGTGTAGCACTGGCGGGCGGAGTGGCTAGAGCCCTACAAGGAGCCGGGACTGGACCGGGACCAACTGACGCTCCCGCAGTCAGGTAGATGACGGCGTGTATCGACAGCGAGCGCCGTCACCGTGCGTCGTTCTCGACATGACAAGGGAGATGACCTTCTGTCACCTCCCTTGTCACAGCGCTAAGTCCAGTCCGCGTAGCGCTAAATCCAATCTACAGTCACGGGTCTTATCAGTTATCCCTTAGCTTGTATCACATCAAGATGCCTAAGCTTTGCATGATGCCAATGATGGAATGAAATGATGGCTGTTGCCTGACGCGACAGGCATCACACAGGCCCCGACGGTATTGTCGGTATTGTATCTATCAGAAACGTCACTTCCTGTCGCAGTCAATGAGTCAAACTTCCGTCACATCCGCTCTGCCGATCTTTCAGCGTCCCACCCCCGCTCAAAACTTCTCCATCGAATCCGTATCAACCATTCTTTCCATTAGGATTTCGGTTGTAGGTTGGAGCGGCGGTAGTGTTCGGTTCAAGAGGCATGAATGAGCGTTTCATTCAGCGCCCCCTTGGGGCCAAGAGGGAGGAAAGAGCGACAGAAAGGAGACAGGAACGAGTACTATAGTTAGTGGGTGAAGGACGGGTCGTAGAACGGCAGGGGTGGGTGGAGGGGTAGAGTGAAGTGGTTAGAAGATGCAGAGCGGCGGAGCGGGTGCTAGCAGCGGTTAGTAGACCGGCATGAGATGGGTGGAGTAAAGCGTGTTTAGATTAGCCGAGGGACGGATGGTTCAGGTACGTGGTAGGGACAGAGTGAGAGGCAGGAAAGAGAAGGTTGGCGGATCGATAGAGGAGGCGGAAAATCAGTACCTCGGAAGAACATAACTTTACAAATTATCTCGAAGAATGCCCGAACTTCGCGTCAAAATCAAGAAACTTCAAACAGGCACAGAAAGTCGTCATGGGAAACAACAAGCGTCCTGTTCCTTAACTGCGCAAAAGTCATGCCAACAGAATGTAAATTTTGTTTGGGAAAGCATCTGACCCGGATGGCGGAAGTAACTGACCCACAACGCTACATCCTTGATCCTCGTGGCACGCTAGGATAACGCTGTGGGCATGACAAGTTGTGCAGCACAGCCAGCGGCATTGAGTGGTCAACTAGCGGAGAATGCAGGCCGCAGGGCCGGAGGCGGGGGCGGGCCTCCCGCTGCAGGGCGGCACTGGGTCAGCCGCCGGAGACCCAGAGGGCGGGGGCGGGGGCGGGGGCGGGGGCGGGGGCGGCACTGGTGAGTCGTGGGCGTCACGCGAGCTCCTCCCACCGCACCGGCCAAGGGCGGGCCCGCACGGCACGCGACCGATACATACATCAGTGAGACAGCGCCCTGCGGAATGGGAGAGAGACTGAGTGAGGGTCGAACAACACATGGGCGTGTCACAGAAAACACACGTTGCGCTAGCGGTGGCACCAATGACCACTTTCCAGCTCAGAACTCAGGGTTAGGAGGTCCATTTCCATTTCCACCCAACATGGCGATGTCAACATAGCTAGTCACTGTCGCCATCTCGTTTATAAGAAGGCTCGTCTGTTAGAAATGCCTGCGAGATGACGGACAGTCAGTTTCCTTCATCTTCAGCCGAGGCATACAGAGAGAGCCCAGCCCGGCAACACCCGTTCGCCCCCTCTAACCTCAGGCGTGCCTGGCGACCCTTCCGCGACCAGTCAGAGGTCAGGGGGTCAGGAAGATGCCACTAGTTTGTCCCCCAGAGACGGGACTATTTCTGACCGGGCCCCGGCCGCACCCCGTCGTGAAAGGTGAAAAATGGTTCAGTTTTGCTTATGTTTAGTCTGGAGAAATCCATGAGCTACCGTAACTATTCACTGTTATTGAAAAGAAACAGAACAGAAACAGCTAGGCGCGGTAGTCAGCAGTCATCACGTTGGCATGCGCTTTTTACGGAGAACGGACAAGACCCACCGAGACACACCACTGGCCAAAGACATCTGTTAACACTATTACCCAGCCTTCGCCGTCAGTGTCACTAACCAGCTCACCCCACCCATCCGTCAACACCGTGACCCCGTACCACCACTGACTGCACGGTTCGGGTGCTCACTCTCTGTACACGCTCTCACGAGTCTGTCCTTGCCAGCAGAGCGAGCAGTCACAGACGGCGTGGAACGTTCTGTCCAGCCAGAGGTAGAGAGTCGAGCGGACGGCGAATCCGCTCACTACGCAGCACTTCACGGCGAAATACTTTACTGGGACACTGCGGCTTGTTCCGTGACGGTCACAGACAAGGCCATTGACCAACCACACGGGGTTGAGTCGTGTGTGGGTGGTCAGTGCCGTGCGTAGTTAGTGGTTACATTGAGGCTTGCATGGGTGAGGTCAGCTTGAACCCAGTTTGGTGGATGTAATTGGGGTAGCTCTGAGCCATTGCTGGATGAGGCTTCTTAGAATCGCTATGACGGAGTTTCTTTTGGCCATGGCTGGCATAGTGTCTCCAAGCCAAGTGTAGGGTGAGATCAATTCAAACACTGTTTGACAAGGTCACGCCAGCCGTGTTCGGTAACGTCAGAGTAAGTAATGCCTCTGTCCCGTGACGACCCGGTGCGACCGTCACGTCACCCGGTCCCACGTCGACATCCCGCCCCGTCCCACGGCGTCACGGGGCGTCCCACACGCGCCGTCATTGTCCCGCCATTGTCCACAACGCGCCGGCTGTGTAAAATGGAGCAGCTGCTGTCGTCCGGAGCGCTCTCGCCACGTGAACGCCTGATTTACTTTTGAGCCCACCCCGGAGGCAGTGGCTCGCGGCAGCGGGTGGTCAGACACCGATTTGGTACGGAGGAGATGGTACAGAACCAAAGACATGAATGGTACGGACACGGCCGAAGTAACAGCGCTGGGAGAGAACAGACAGTGACAGAGTGTGCAGGGGCACAGGTCACACGACCCCAGCACGCCGGTGACATTTGAAAGCACTCCCGGTGCTCCCTGCATCCGCGGAAGCCGACGGCGAAAGTCACCGAACGAGGCCGTGTGCCACTAGCCATGCGGCAAAGGACACGTTAGAGTCCCAGGACCGCACCGTCGACAGACAGGGACACTGCGACCGACGCATGAATTCCTGCCCAGACACTCGGAAACACCTCTCATCCATATCCCAAACACCTCCCGCCCGAGGTCACTGACAAGGCCGAGCGCCTACGCTTCGACAGTCTATCTTTAGAGCACCGCGAAAATCATTCAGTAGCGTGCATCAAGTATGGAATGCCATTAAACGAACCATCGATTACATACCATTTCAGCAGTGTTTAATTCATCAAAAGACGGCCAGCGACCCCAGGTTCAAGGACCCGTCACAGACGCATGCTTTCGCAGTCGTTTTTTCACCATCATTCACACGTCCGACCCTGCCCCCATATCATGGAAACTAGTTTTTGTCCGTCTGCCTCTCGCCTCTCTGACGCGGTGAATGAGCGCTCAACGACACCGCGATCATGAGTGGGCAGAGGGGAGAGTTCTGGGGAGAGCAGGGAGAGCGGGGAGGGGTGCGCCAGTCATCCCTAGGTGACGTCAGACGCCAGCGAGTCGAGGACAGACGCCGAGTCGAGCCCCCTCTCCGGCCTCGCCTCAGAGCTGACCTCACCGATCAGTTTGGTAGTGGGTCGCATGCTTCACGAATACCAATGCCAAGCTCAGCTCCCGTGGCCTCCAGTCCAACTGTAATGAATAACGAATATGGTGGGGGCGGCCGGAACGCAGGCACGTCGGCACGGATGTGCGCAG